CCCAACACGTGCTACCAGCGTCAGTTGACGCAACGCTGCCGCAACACACTAGCGAATCTTCTAGAATACTCGTCACGTGACCCCCACTGTCGTAACATTATTTTACTTTTACTACCTATTTGACATCACAGACCACTAAGGTAAAAAGAATATCTTTGTTTTTAGTCTTATTTCTTTAATTCTCATTTTCAAACTGTTATTAAAATTTCAATATTTAATAACTGCTATAGAGGTAGTAGTTAGAGAAACATTACTGAAATTATATTGTTATACATCGATCTCTAGTAAATTCTTTTGGATCACTTACAAACGATTGATTCTGACTCTCTTTGAATTTTGGTAGTGGCGTCTTTTATGGAAATATTACGCTGAATTGTTTGTTTGTTTGAAGTTAAGCACAAAGCTACACAATGGGCTATCTGTGCTCTGCCCACCACGTGTATCGAAACCCGCTTCTAGCATTGTAAGTCCACAAACACACCGCTGTGCCACCAAGGGGCAGGCATTATGCTGAAATGAGCAATGTTTACATCATACAGATACTCCATCAAAAAATGACATTTGTGCTAGTCTCAGGTGAACTGATAGGTCTGCTTAATAACAATAGTATCGAACAGGGAATTTTAGAATAATTTGAATCTTAAAAGTCGACTAAGTTTTAAGCTGCATGAAAAGTAAATATACTGGAAACGTTTAAAGAAAATTGAAAACTATCTTTATCAAGAACTCTGAAGAACTAAGGCCCTGTACAGGAAACCTGGTTCCTTTGTTTTGCGATAACATCATCATTTGAACGGCCATTCTCCCACAGCATTCATCGGCTGTGACATATAGAAAGCGTCTACCCAGCTAACAAAGGACGTTGCAGTCCTTGATCCTTTCATTGGGATTTTCCAGTAAAGATTTTCTGAACCACGTGTTTACGTCAAAACTGCTTAGAAACTAAGTCAATGAAAAACTTTTAAAAACTCCTGTATTAATAAAATTACCTAGATAGAAATTATTTCACCAATGTACTTCCAAACACAAGTACGGTGGATTACTTTTGGCTTGGAAAACCAGTTCTTCTGAATTGTGTAAACTACATCATTGATTTTTTCAGTGCAACATATGGCCCTTTCATGTACCTATTTAACTTTGAAGTTTTTCTATGGCCAAATCATTAGATGTAAATCTATTCCTAATAAGTTCTGCTAGTTGATATTTCATTTCCTGATGATACAATGACTGCCCTTCTTGTTATCACTTGAAGTTCAACCTCTCGTGTAGTAATTGCCACGAAGTGCAGAGAGTTTTCCTGGTCATAGCTTGCAAAGCTATTTGAAGATAGTCTAACCTTGCATCCATGTCTTTAGATGAAGTCAGTTTTCAATATGCACTCTACATCGATGTCAATTATCCACATATCGTGAGATATAGAGAAGCTTCCCACAGTAAGAATAATCTCCAACTTTTCTCTTGCTGGAACTTTATGTCTACTTGCTGTTCACATCAATCCATCTTTTTTGTTCATCATTGCAAGTAATTTCTATCTCTAATTACCACGTTGGGTTGAACAATTGTAGATGTATAACCAATGTTAATTAACAAGCTGCAAGGATTTCCATCAATAAACTCATAGACTTGTGGGCTGGTTTCTTTAAATAATCAACTTCTTACCTCATTTTGGGCAAATGGGGCATTCTCAGACGAACTTAGTCTTATGAGTCCAGCTGATTTTTGTTTTTCCAATGGCTGATCAACTCTTTGTTGTTCCTTTGATGTGGTTCAGCTCGAACAGTTATCCTTAGGTTGCTCTCTCCTTGGTGCATTAACAGCTGTTGATTTTTCGTATCTTGGTTGCAATGACCAGGTTTTCAATATTAATAATAGTTCCTTTTTCCTGGTATATTTTGGAACGGGTTTTTATTCCATACAGGATTTTGTCTGCAGTTCCTAGTGATACGTACTGTTAAATTTCACTCGAAATGTCTATTTTCTTTTGGTTTGTTTCCTCCATTCTATGTGTGTAGTTATATGAATAATCCTTCCAGTTCTTCTAGACTATCGTCAGAAGGAATAGACGTTTAAATACTACTCAATCTGATGATCTTGTAACTTGTAGATGGTGTCTTTAGTTGTTGATCTGCGAATTTAATGGAATCAAGTTTCCTCCTCTGTTATGGCATATATAAATTGGACACATTCCAACTAATCCATCATTTCATATGGAACAACTGGGTAAGATAGTTGGGCAAGTTTCTTCAAGTCTTCTGTCATTTTGGCAAAGATCTCTTCTTTCTTCTGTAACCTATTCCAAAACTTCATTCTGGATATTTCCTTCTGTTGTTTCACTTCAAACCTATTGTGTAAAGCAGTTACTATTTCTTGATGACTGTTATGGCTCTCAGCCAGAAGATTACTTAATGACGTGAAAGTTGGTCCTTTATTTAGGTAATAAGTTCTTGTTATTAAGGTAAGAAATTTGGAAATTATTTAATAAGGCCTATCCTTAAATACACCTTAGTTGTGTCTATATGAACCCTTTTCGATTAAGAAACTTTTTACCTTTCAAGGACAAAAATCAATAAAGTGCAGCAACCTCTTGTCGTTAATAAATATAAATGTCCTCTCTGCTTGAACGGTTATATTAAGTCCACTACCAGGTGTATCTGGCGTAGGACGGTAGAACACTATACTTCTAGCTGTAACAACTCACGTTTTTTTTTTGTTGTTGTTGTTGTTTTTTTTTCGCAGAATGTCGCGGAATGTGATCGTAATATCAAATTTAAACACTTCGACATTTCATTTAAGGCAACAGATGAATAACAATAAGGTTCAAAGAGGTTTTGTTCAGTAAAATTCGCCAACCGGAGAATTTGCTTATCTTGTATATTCGAATAATTTTTTTGAAAAACACCCATAATCCTCGTGCTTAATACCCATTTATAAATATATTTTAAAATATATATTTAAAAAAAATCATATACATACGTACCTCTCTTAGAGGGCGATTATTTGTAAACATGGCAACGACTGATGAGGATGATGTTCCAGGTAAACAACATTAGGACAGTTCCAGAGCCGCAGTGTTACCATTTTATTATTAATAACTGTTACTTTAACTTCTAAGTTTAAGCACCGTAGTATGTCATATAACATCACACAGTTTTATAGAATCACTGAATTTGTGAAAAAAAAATTAAATAAAACCAAAAGTGTTCTGAGGCAATTTACTGTAGTCTAGTGTAGTGTGTAGTGCAAATGTTTGTATAAAACTGACAACAGTCAGTTTTCACGCAACTTCAGAAGTTTGCGTTCATATGTCTAAGTCTAATCTAAAAGTAACAATTAAAGTGTAATGTACCCATCCAATGGTCTATCGAATTTCTTGAAATTTACTGTTTGACTAGACTTTGAAATTGTATTGCAATTTGCATGCCCTCTCATGATTTCAGTGTTTAAGTAGATTAAGGATACAAATACAGTCTATAAGTATAATATTTGGTGAATTATATCAAGCGATTGTCATATTATTATTAGATTAATATATACGTATATAATTAATTTAGAGGCCAATTAATTAAGAATTATTTTGAACTTGTGATTATAACTGTCATTGTGAAGTTAGTAAAAGACCCCACTTTTTAAAGTATTTTATTGTTTAAAAAGTAATAACATGCAAGTGGTGATCAAAGTATTGTGAGATTAACATTTAATTTGCATAAAAAGTACAAAAGTAACACAACATGTATGAAAAATAAGAAATCATTTGGTTGTTCAAGGCGTCATTGTACACCTGCCCTTGAGGAAAGAAAGATATTTAAACCCATCCTTCATTTTTTAGGAAATTATTGATTCCTCTCTTAACTAATTCCTTAAACTAATCACCCTGTTCAGAGAATAAAACTGGATTGTGTCCTCTCATCTATTGTCTTCCCAATATTAGAGGCTTTAATCCTATCAGTCCACTAGATAACTTTGAAAACTTCAATGAGAATCACACCCTTCTTTTGTTCAATAGAAAGTTAGTTAACAAATAACTATTTTATCCCCAGAATCATTCTAGTAGCCCTCTTCTGAACCTTTTTTCAATAAGTCAATATCCTTTCATAGATAAGGTCCTCACACAACATTCCAAGTAAGGCCAAACCATGTAATCATTATTTCAATATATATATCCTAATTATATAGCATTACTATTAACAACAGAGCATTGTCACAATAGCTTTATTGACTTATCAGTCACTATACCAAGATTATTTTCTTCAGTCATAGTATTCAGTGGGTTTCTCTCTACATGTACTGTATGATCCAAATAATGATAATTAAAACTTAATAACGAGGAACCCACTTTTTAAAAAATAGAAGTTTTGAGATAGCTTGACTGGGTAATGAAAAAAGTAAGAATGTAAGTAAGCAAAAGCCCAAACACAACACCTGAGATACACCACTGGTAACGAAAGGTCAATTTGACCGGACTCCGTTAATAACAACATTTTTGCTTTCATCCAATTAACTATTCTTCCAACACCCCCCACCCCCACGTGCATGCACTGATGTGATTTTCTTAGCTAATTTTCAGTGGGGAACCTTATCAAAAACTTTTTTAAAATCTAATACACAAAGTCCACACCTTATTTATTTAGGGTTAGTTGTTTTGATTACTCTGTTGTGAACTTCATTTGAATACTTTATAATAGAAATTTTATATTGTCTACTAGAGGGAGTTTTTGGCATAATGTAGTGATGATGTATGCCAATTAGAAATTTCCTGAGCATCTAGATTTGACATGATGTCTAGAATTTTCTTGAGACTTGAGGAAAAACAAATATTGTAATATAAAATTACTGGAGAATTAATCAGTGAATTAGTTATTGAGTAGCCAGTTAGTCAGTGAGTTAACTAGTAGGACAGTTCAGTGCTGCAAATTTTGAATTTGTGTTTCAACAAGGAAGAGATTTTTGCAAGTGGCTGTTTAGTTTTATTTGTGAGCTAGGCTGTAACTTGTAAAACTTGTGTGTTACAGTCAAAAATAAATCTCTTTCATTGTCAGTAAGTGAGCTGGACTTTGCATTATTTTTACCAATAATCAAAAAGAATACACCAAATTATAGAATCCATTACAAAGGTGGAGTGGAATTATTTTGGTAAAATTAAAATAGAATTTAGAACAAACTTCAAGATAATTACATGTGCATGAAGCAAGGTTGAAAACTTGTTAGAAATGATGAAACATGGAAAGAAAAAGTAGAAGACCAGGAAGAAAGAGACAGAAAATTAACAGAAGATCTTGAAGAAAGAAAAAATTAAAACAAGACAGAAAAGAACCTACCAAAAATTAAAAGAAGAAGAACAAGAAGAAAGAGATAGAAAATTGGAATAAAGAGACAGGAAGTTAAGAAAGAATATAAAGAAAAGGGACATAAGAGTTAAAGTAGAATAAAAAAGGAATTAATTTGATTGAAAACAAGATCAAAGAAGCTACTGGAAATGTACACAAGGTTTATAACAGTGAAAAACTACAAAAGACATATGTGATATTTTCTGGCTCTTGTATTTACTTCAGAATAGTGAGTTAGGGCCTTCTAACTACAGACATCAGGATATCAAACTATGAAGCATGCTTCTCCTTGAATTTGAACCAAGTTCATCATGAAAAATTGGAGAGTAAACAAATCCTAAAAATGTTTATTAAATATAAAAAACACAAAATAATACAATAAATAACAAATCAAAAAGGTTTTTCTAATGGATATCTGTTGAACTGATAAATAATGTATGAGAAACGTTTCTCTTTTCAGTTCAGTTAAAGTACATATAATGAAGTACAGGTAAATAAGTAAATAAAAATAACCCAGACTAGTCACTGTAAATGAAATAAAGTAAATCCAAGTTAATTTTAAATTTTACTAAAACATACAGATATTTTGAAATTATAGTTAAGCCAAAGAAACTTTTGATTTCTTCAACAGTCACATCTGTGATGATCCAACATTATGTTAAAACTACACATGCTTAAGACAACAGTATACCTAGCTCTCCAATAACTCTTAAAAACTCTCAGAGCCTTATAAGTAAAAGTTTTATAAGAGATGCTAGCCAAGAATCTATATTATTGAACTCAGAAGTCTGCTAAATTTTACTTACATTACCTTATGCTGAAAGTTTAACTTATGTTTTAGTTTAAAATGATAATTTTGCTAAAATCTAGAAGTTGCAAAAATCAGAAGCCTCCAGGTTAAGCCTGGCCTTATACATGAAACCAAAATTACACTAAAAGGGAAATTTCCTCCCACCCCCACATTCAGCGAGTGGTTCCATATACAAAAGATGTGACTGTCCCTAGCTGTTATTGGATTTGCATAGAAGAGAAATAACTGTTTCTCTAATTACAAATTATTTTTCTCACAAGAGAATAAAGATAACAGACAATTACAAACACACTTAACATGCACTCTAATGAAAGGGAAGGTTGAGTAACTTACTTGAGCAACTTGCTGCATCATAACTGAAAATGATGAAAAATACAGTGATTTAAATACATTTTGCACATTATGTAAGGGAGTAGAAAACATGGTATATTCCTGTACTACATATCTATGAAATGCAGAAAGACTCATGATAAAATTGAAGAACTACAAAAGAACAACAATAACAAAATACATAATGCCATCTATAATGTGCATAAAGATTATAATAACAAACTTGAAGCAGTACAAAAGTAAATCAAAGAGATAGAAAAGAACATCAGTAATATAATACAACATCTGGAAAATTTATTTATATATATACAAGAACCAAACCAGCCATGCTTCTCTATTCATATCTGCCAGAGAATTTCAACACCAAACATCATTAAGTATAAAATATAGAAGAGGAGAACTCTCAACTGGTGTACACTGATCACTAATGCTGCTGCACTGCTTATGACTCTTCTGGGCTACTCCAACCATGTCTCCTCCTAATCGAGCTGGCTAGTTCAACAATATCGACCAGTTGAGAAATCCACAGATTATGGTAAAAATTACTGTGCATGGCATATCAGTCTCAGTTGAAATAAAAGCAAAATTCTATAATGATTAGATGGAATAGTGAACAACAAGCTTTTCATCTATTGCCATTTAAAAGGACCCAGCCTTAAGAACTTTAAGCAGTCTTCCGGGTGGGAGCCATAACAACTATCAAGTATTGGTGTCTGCCCTGTCAAACATATTTGAAATATCACATAAGGGAAGCAAAAAATTTGCAAAATGTGTGGTCGAGATGAACTGGAGACTGGTGAAAACATTTTTCACAAGTCCAAAAAGTAGACACTGGAGTTTGAAAGTGTGCTTGACTAATGACAAACGGTCTTTCTAAACCAAGTTAGGCTCTGTTTAACAGATTAGTGCTGCATTAGAACTAGCATATGTGTGTTATTGTCTCATACATTTTGAGAAGAAAATACTGTTTAAAGTCACTGATGAAAATGCAAACAAAATACAAAGAATTATTAAAGGTTTCTTTTAAATGAATAGTTCTTATCTTGAAAAACATCAGATTAAAAGATGAAAGAATAATTTTCTTGAGAAAATTAAATGTTCTTTTGTAGAAATGTTTTTCTCTAGTACTGTTAGTGCATAAATATAGGAAATACACAATACAGAAGCAGTAGTGTTCATATTAATGAATCTTTAAATATTAAGATCAATACACTGGATTCATTTACAAAAATAACCCATTTTCTACACTTCTTCACCCGACTCTCTAGACTGTTGTACCATTTGTGGACTTCATTGTGCTTGATGTTAATCTGATTTATTCTTATCCCTGAGAAAGTTTTCTCAGCAACATTTGGTAAAAGAAAAGAACGAGACCTTAGCCAAACTTATGGAACATGTGAATGGTTTACCCAATTACATGTATTTTACCTGGATGCTCCATGAGAAATGACAGATTTGTTTGTTTGTGACCAGTTCATAGATACTATAGTGATTGAGGATATGCTAATTAGACTGAAAGCAAAACGGTTATACATCTTTAAAGGAAGCCCTCCAGTATGCACTGAAACTTGAATCAATTAAAGTTGTAGATAAACAGCTAAATTCACCATTTAGGTATTATAAACCCATCAAATTCAATAGCTTAGAAATATCAGCTGTCATTAATGAATGACTAGAAGAGTTCAAAGATTAATTAGTTTTAAGCCAGAATGAGAAAAGTAAACCACCTGACAAAAGGGGTTTCAGTTGCAAAGGACATATTGCCAGGAAATGCAGACAAAAGGTCTTAGTCTGTCTGTTTCAATTGTAATTTAAAAAGACATTTTGCAAGAAATTGCTCCCAAAGGATGATAGGAGAAGCTAACTGCTATAAGTGTAGAAAATATAGGCATTACATCTGAGAGTTTGGTGAATCAATCTTTTATAATAAGCCAAGAAAAATGATATCTTGAGGATGAGAATATCCCATTTGTACCAATAGAAATAAGAAGGTAAATTTTAAATAATCCAGTTAGTGGGTTTATTGATGGGAAGCTTTGCCATATTTGACCAACACTTGTTCTACAGGTACAATTGTTTGACCTGATTTGATAATGAAAAGTGGGAAATTGCTTTTAGAGGTGAAGCAAGAAGATGGATTGATGAAAACATTTAATGGCAAAGGAAAAATTGGATGTTACTTTCACTTTGGGAACTTCTTTACATGATATGATGTGTAGGTAATTGACATCAAAGAAGAGTACATATTGGAAACTGACTTATCCAGAACCATGGAAGCAATGTTAGGCTATCTTCACAAGTTATAAATAGGACATCTCCACACAATATATGACAGTTACACCTCTAGAGATTGGAGTTCATATAAAAACAAAGATGGGCACACAGGGTAATGAGTACAGCTGACCAAAAGTGCAGCAGAGCAGAATCCAGAAGAAGAATAGGTGGTCCAAGGCAAAAGTCATCTGTTGGGATTGTCTTTGGAAAGATATAGACGAGATAACAGCCAACTGCTTAGCTTCAGTAAAGACTTTGCCAGAGATAAATCAACCCTGCTGGTGAGTTTGAGGTTCCTATGAAGACCACTTCCAGAGTATCAGCAGAGGCATAGCCACTAGAGGTCACTGGGTCTTCATATAATAAGCTACCGAAAAAAATATAACCAAAGGAGATTTGGCAACAGGACAGTTTATATATTACAAATCAGCAAATAAATAAATACCACCTTGTTGATCAAAATTAGGATGGTATTTTGTGTTTTATATATTTTAGTATTTAGACTTCAAATATAAAAAAGAGGAAATGTTTTAAATTATATTTTAACATTTTAATTTAGATATTTTCAATTGTTTATTATGGGAAATTTTTGGCATAATGTAATGGTGATGTGTGAGACCTAGAAATTTCATGAACGAGCAGAAACATCACTCTAGGGGGCAGCTGTTTATGCCACTAATTAATGATTGTAGTATTCATACCTCATTGAACAAAATTTTGAAAAAGTGAACATTTTCTAAAAAAAAAGGATATTTCTGAAAAGTACTGCATGGGAAAGGTGATTGTATTGTGTTGATATAAACTATAATGTTTTTATTTATTAAAAGTGGTACTCTTTACTGAAAAAATAAGTTTACAAATACATCAATAAAGATATAATCAAACCCTCACATACATTTCTAGTGAAAGTCGTGTTCTTGTTGTGAGGAGAGTATTTTTATTTAAAATTGTGTTCTGTGATAAAGAAATGGTTGTTTCACATACCGTAGTTATTTTTCTAATTGTCTGAATCTGGAATACCCAAAGTGTGAATTTTTTTTTATGGATTTGTGTTTGTGGTGCCATTCAGTAGATGATGTCACATCGTATTTATTATTTTGGTCACATACATAGATAGATACACACATATATATATATATATGCTATGTCCATTATAGTAAAATGTCCAGATTTGACATGATGTGCATTAACATTTAGAATTTTCTTCACACTTAGGAAAAACAGATGTTGTAAAAACACCTTAGAGTTAATCAGTGAATTAGTTAGCAAATTAAAGAATTTTGCATTTTGTTTTTAATTCTAGAACTGTAAGCTTTAAATACAACATATAAGATATATATGTATTAATTCTTGTCTGTCTAAAAGTTGCAAATTCTCAGGTATGTTTAGGAAAGCACTTTATACAGGTGATTCTTTCATGGTTATTTGAAATATATTTGTGGTAAAATAAAGTTGGTATCTATTTTTAATTATCTAAATTTAATGTTTTATAAATTAAATAGTGACTTTTAGAGAAACAGCTCTGTTAGATCTTGGATTTAATTGATTGATTAATATAATTTATTTCCTTTGAGCATCAGTTAGTGTCACATAAACCAATTGGTTATTTAAATTATGATTAAATTGCTTAATCAAAAATAGTGTCTCTAATTTTAATGTTTACAATTATTCCAACAATTGATTAATTTAAGCGACTGTTAAATCAATTGTGATTGAAATTATCAACCAATTGAAATTAAGGTATCCGATAATTATGACTTTTGATTATTCCAAATATCCAAGTAATTGAAATATTGTTATTATGCTTGTTTGTTGTTAAGCACAAAGCTGCATAATGGCTAGCTATGGTCTGCCCAATTTTAGCCTTATAAGTTTTTTTTTTACTTCAAGTTTGTTCATCTTTGGTGGTTCATGAGGGGGATTATGATTTTAGGGTCTCAAGTTCAATTCTCATTTCTACCAAGCTTACTCACACAGTCTTTGTTATAGAAAAACTTCTAAGGCTATCTGCCACTATCACTACTTTTGAACTGCTAACTAGATGAAATTTTGTTTTTTGTTTTGAACTGCTGCCTAGAGGGAAAGGAACTGGCTAGCAGCACACAGTAACAGCATTTGATTTATTTATTTTTTAACTGCTGACTAGAAGAAAGGCAATTGACTGGCTTTTTTTCTTGTATATACCATGATTTGAAGAACACTGTGCTGATTAATTAATTAATGGGACTGTCAATTAATCGATTTACAAATATCACTAATTGCCTAGCTCTTCATTTTGTTCTCTGGTTCCAGATCATGTCTCAGCAGGGAATATTAATCCTTTTATCTCACGATGGCTCAGCAGTAAGCTCAAGGGCTAATGATGCTGAAAATTTGGATTTAGTACTCACAACAGGCACAGTTGAGATATCCTATTGTATAGATTTGAGTATAATAACAAATCAATTAATCCTTTGTTTTTGGTTTTTATTACAGACACTGGAGCAATATTTACTTTTGGCAAAAGCAGATTTGCAGATAATATCCCAGGAAAGTTTTGGATTAGAGATGACCCCGTACTACAAGTGGCTTGTGGGGATGAACATACTGCTTTAGTTACAGGTCATTTTATTTAGTTAGTTAATAATTAAAATACAATTAATATCACTTTCTTATCACAGTATCAAATGTCTGTAGTTTCTATGTTTCATTGTAGAATTTGTTTTGAAATAACAGTCAGTCTATAACAAATTATTAAAATCCTGTATGCATTTTCTAGTTTACAGATTTAATCAATAATTTCTATTTCTGATCAGTAAAATTTCCATGTAAGAGTACAGATTGAGATGTTTTATTATTAAATAAATAACTTGAAATTAAAGCATTTTTAAATCACCCAAAAAAGTATTACTTATTTTGATAACAATATTAAAACATTTAAATATAGGACATATGAATACTCGAAGCTTAAGAGCATATGCCTTAAATGCATATAGGCAAACATGAGATGATACAGTGTGAATGAAGGGTATGATCACATTTATGGAAATTAAGGTTGTAGGTATGTCAGCCAATCGTTTAGCACCAGGAAGCTCAATTTGCAAATATAAGTTTGAAGGAATTTCATAGTGTAGATAAAACTACATGTTCAGTCAGATGTGTAGAAACAGTGCCTTGACTGCCATATAATATACAGTATAAAGAAGGAAGCACTCTTGAAGCTTATTTATATGTGTTGCATGATTTATATTTTTTCATCATTAGGAATGCATTTTCTGGATTAGTAGAACAATAGGCATATGTTGTAAAAGGTTAAAATTGTTGTTTATACCTTTCAATGAATCTCAATAACTTAAGTTTTATTTACAGTGTGTAATTTACAAACATTACCTTTTACGCTTGCTAATAAGTAAATTGTGCACACATCTATGTATGTACATACTATTGTACTGTTATTTCCAAGAGGGAAAGAATTAACCCAATGTATAAAAAAATTTTTAACTTGAAAGCACTTTTAACAATGGACAACAAGGAACCATTTGGCCCTTCAAAGCTGTATTTGCGCACCTACCCTTGAAAAAAGTAAAACATTTAAACCTTCCCTATATTTTTTTCAGGAAATCATCAGTTCCCTTCCCAAACTTCTCTTAAGTACTGACATCCACTACTGATAATCAACTTGGAAGAAAAATAAAACTGTCTTAACTGGAACCTAGCCTGTTTTAGAAAATTTTCAATTTTGTCCTCTCATCCTATTTTTGTCAGAATATAGTATAAAAAAGTTAGAGGCATTTATCCTATTCATCCCCTGGATAATCTTGTAAACCTCATCTATATCACCTCTTACTCTTCTTTTTTCAAGAGAAAATAAAGAGATTCAAAAATGATACTTACCTCTCTGCACCACTAAGAGATATTACCTTACGTGCAACTGCCATGGAATTTCCTGTGCATGCCACAAGACTCAAACAAACTCCCACCCGTATATGTGTTTATGTGAATTGCATCAGTCTATGATGTAATTGACATAATGCTATAGATCTTCACTCATAGGAGGATAACAGGCATAGTAATCCCCATTTGCACTAGTACATGATCACAGGCTCATTCTTTTATTGGCTCTGCCTGTGTTCGGACATTTTTTTTTCCTGTGCTTGTTGAGTTTCTAGTCACCTTAACCCTCTTGCTACAGAGGTCAAAGAGTGCATGTCACAATGTTTTTGTGAGTTATTTCCAAAATTTAATTAAATAACTATATTACCATTGTATGTCAATAAAATTGGCATCAAAACATAGTATATAATCCATTTTTAATATTGTATTTATTTACTTTTCTTAATTTTAAAGAAAATATTAAAAACAAAATGCTAAATATCCTTTTTTGTATGTCACATGGCATGTCCTCTTGTATTATTGGTCAGTTTATATTGTATTACGCTTACAATGCAATGTCTGTAGTGGTTTACGAATTAGAAACACCAATTTCAGACATTAACAAGTTAGAATATGAAATAAGAACCTCCCATCATTTTGATTTCCTGAGATATCAATATATTTAGCAAACACACCAGAGTAGCCCATCCTACTACTACATTCTTTTGAAACCTTTTGTCTACTCACACCTACTTTCTGAATTACATGTTTACAACCAGTAGAGAGAGCACATTCCAAACTACATAGATCTGACAGTCATTTGTAATTGACTTGAAGGGGAAACTTGTATTCTGATATGATAATTTACCTCTTCTCACATATAACTTTTCTTGGCAACTACTGCCTTCTACATGTGCTAATTTTTGCTTGCCACTAGCCTTGTGCTCCCACCTACATCCATGTATTTGCATGTGTTACAGCTGCATTGTAGCATGCAAATGAGCATGCGACAACCATCCACCAATAGGAGTGTGACATACCCTCTTAGCACAGCTGATTCCTTCTGTACTGTAGAACCTAATATTCACTTCTCGATTTGGCACACTTGAATGCAGATGTATTTTAATTTCTCTAGTTTTTACTTCATTTTTTATATTTTACCTAATTTGTTCAACAAATAACATAGTTGTTTTTACATTCTGTAATATTCCATGATAACTTGTGGATGGAATTTGTTTTATCCACACAAGTTTCTTTTATTTGAATTTTCAAAATGGTGTTGCAACTACTACTTCTTTTGTAACACTTGCCATTGTACAACAACTATCATTTCCATAGAGGGCAGCACTGAACGAGAATAGTTAATTTTATGAGAGAAGGTAAGTACCTATCACAAATACATTTTCAGTATAGGAAAATTATAACTTCTATGGATTCAGGCCCTGGTATTTCAGGGAGATGGTTTCAGCCTTCTTTCCATTATGTTTACATTATCATGCATCAGGTGTTTGGTTCCCTCCTGCTTATTTCCTTTCCAGCTCATGTCCCTAGTCATTATGTTTCTTTGGCTTTTGTGGAGCCTGTCTCACCTGTGAACAATTTTGATGAGCTTTTCAACCTCTTGACTTTATTCTGGCTCTTCTCTCACTGATGAAGAACAAGTACTTCCTCCTTTTCTGTTTACTACACTCATGAATCAGGTATTTGATATTCCGTCTTTTTTACCTGTATATCATAACGTCTCTTTGGTTATTTTACTTTATGTACCTCCTTTTGTTCCAACTTTATGTTGCCCCATATCTTTCTTGTCCTGCTCATCTTTGTGACTCTTTTGCTATGGCTTCGGGTCATGGCCCTTTTATATTTCTTTATACCAGTTTCTTGTGTCCTTTCTTTCTGCTTGGGGTGCATGAGAGTTATTCTTCTTTACCTTTCTTTCCAGCAGTCTGTTTGTTTTTGTCTGTATTTGCTCCTCTACTCTCTTTCTCTGCCCTTATTACATTCTAATAGTTCTGGTGGATAGCTTCTCGTAGTTTGCAGGAAGTTCTAGGCCTCAGTTGGGCGATGTATATATATATGTATGTATAGGCAACCAAGTGAACACAAGAAGTTGTCAGAAAATGTTAAGTTCGAGAAAGTGAAGTTAGACTGCATGATTGTTAGTTTAGCCATAATGGGCAATATTTAAAGTGAGTTTCACAGTGGTATTGTAATAACAGAGATAAAGGAGAATAATATTTCTTGTCAAAGGGGGTTCTAAAGTGTTCTGTGTGGACTTTGACAGGAAACAATTATTTGAAATTCTGGATACAACTGTGGTAACCCCCAGGGTAACGTAAGTGAATCTATCACAGATTGTACAGTAAGAAACAGAGTAGAGAAAAATATATTGTCTTGTCCATTGAGTTCTAAAGTAACAGAACTAGGCTGTGTGGACTTTTGACAAGAAAAGAAAATTATTTAAAGTTTTAGATACAACTGTGATATCCTATAGTGTAAATCATTTTTGTACATACGTTTTACTTGTTTTGAATATATTATTTTAAAACAAGTTGATCATGTGCTGTCTGTTTATTTATTGCCAACAAATCACAGATACCTACTGTAAAGAATCTGGCCCATACATATATAAAAACCTGACATTTGGCGAGCCAGCCAGGATTATACGGTGCTAAACAACAGTAGGAGAAGATGTGAATGACATTTGAAGTAGGCTTATATACACACAACTGTAGTGGTGATGAAAATAGTGTAGATATTACAGTCATGCTATACAATCATGTCAACAGATTTTGATCAGTGGATTGAAAGAGGTGAGCATCTTGGGCTCAAAGATGGCAAACTACGAGGGTTCATTAAACAACAACAAGAACTGGAGAGAGAAGAGCATAGACAGAGCAGAAGGAAAAAAAGACTAAAAGTAGAAAGAGAGAAAGGAGAATATCATAGAAAGGATACATTGGAAATAGGGAGGATAAAAGCACAAAGAGAGAAAGAAGAAAAGGAGAGAGAAGAAAATTAGAAAATGACTGGAAATAGAGAGTGAGAAAGAAAAAGAATAAGAGCACAAATTTTGAAAGATTCTTTGTTTATATGTTTGAAGTTAAGCACAAAGCAACAGAAAGGGCTATCTGTGCTCTGCCCACCATGGGTATCAAAACCCAGATTCTAGCATTGTAAGTCTGCAGACATACTGCTGTGCCACTTGGGGGACTTAATTGTGAAATAAGAAAAGGAGATAGGTAGAGGAAAGACTGGAAATAGAGGGAAAAAGAGCAAAAATTGAGATCGCCAAGCTCACCCAACAGAAAGAAGAAGGACCCAAGAATGACAATGGTGTCAGGGCCAGCTGACCAAAGCTACCCAAATTTGATGAACAGCAAGATGACATGGATGCTTTTCTGGAGAGATATGAAAGATTACCCAAAGTCAAAACTGGCACAAAGGCATCTGGGCAGTCTGTCTCAGCCTACTTCTCACAGGAAAAGGCCTAAAATTACATGCATGCATGATGTCAGAAAATGCCATGAACTATGACAAGTTAAAAGTAGCCTTGCTGAAACACTATGAACTTATTGAAGAAGGTTTTCATCAGACACTGGAGAAACTATTTCAATTTGTGTCATATTTTGATGATAGTTTACAAGATGTACTGACATGGTCAAGGGTGAAAATAGTTTTGATGTACTGGCAGATCTACTAATACGTGAACGGGCTAACTGAGCCTTTTTGGATATGATTTTTCAGGT